TACCAGTGGTTCTCAACCTTCTGGCCCTTTAAATACAGTTCCTCATGTTGTGACCCAACCATAAAATTAGTTTCGTTGCTACTTCATAACTGTAATGTTGCTACTGTTATGAATCATAACGTAAATATCTGATATGCAGGATGGTCTTAGGCGACCCCTGTGAAAGGGTCATTCGACCGCCAAAGGGGTCGCGACCCACAGGTTGAGAACCGCTAGTATAGGTCCTAATTAAAATGAGTTATAAATAAAAATGGAAACAGTCACACACAAAAAACAAAACAAATTTAGAAGCTCCTATTAAGTGACATCTGGGACTGGTTTTCTTCATTTTTAATAAACTCAAGAACATCCCTATAAAAAGGTTATGCTCATTCAGCTGCACTTCTGTATCCTTCCTTAAAGAGAGAAAAAGTAGTGGAGTTATATTTAGATTTTCTGTAATTACAGACAAACTACAGACCCACATAATCTTCCTAGGAGACTCCAGTGGAAAACACTAATGTTAAAGTTAAAGGGTTATATGAAATGTAATTTTCATGGCTGATGTTATAATAAAATTGACAATAAATAAAATTTAAGTTAAAAATAAGCAAGACTTTACTAATGCAATAAAAATACACTGATGTAGTACTGACTATATCTTAACTACACAGGAAAGCATGTAATATAAACAAATGAGAAGTCCACCCCAATTTCAGCAGGGACTAAAAATGCTACCTTTCAAAGTGTTTCAGATGGCACTCCACTGATAAGTTACTGGTTGCTAAGGTCAGCTTTTAATTGTTAAACCTAATGGCCTCTTTTCAGCCTATATTCTATTTGCCCTCACTATGCAATTCCTAACATAGTTAACTATTTCCTCTTAACTTTCCTCCTAGCTTCTTTCTCTTTTTTTAATCTTCCTCTGGTTTCCTACCCCTCTGAGCACTGTTTCTCTTCCTAGTTCTTCTTCCATTCACACCTTAAGTGTAGGAACTTGTCTAAACTGCCTTTTCTTCTAACAAGAAAAGTTCTCCCTGGATGATTTTATCCATTCCTGTGCTTTAATTACCACCTACAATTCTAAATGTTGGTGCCCTAATCTGTAGCTCAGCTGAAAATGCATTTTCTTTTGCAGGTCTCCTGGTTTCTACAAACTTTGTCTGAAGAATTCCCCCTTTCCTCCACCTAACAAAAACCTTCTCAGCCTTTAAGACTTAAAATGTCACCAACTCAGTGAAACTTTCACCAACTTTTCAAAATACTGTTAGTTAATATTCTAGTTTAGAAATCACTTATCTCACAAAATAGGCAAGATTATCATGGAGATCAAGGAACTTGAACAAGGCAATATTACAAGTGGAAACCATTAACTTAAATCCAGATCTTCTCACTCTAAGTCCAATGCTCTTTCTAATACACTGAGTTGCTCTCAAAAGAAACAAGATTAGAAAACTTAGTCTTACTATTCTTAAGAAAATGTCATTGGTCTTGTCATTTCTTTCTAGAAATTAATCCCTAAATAAATGTTTAATCCAGAAATAAAATTATTTTTAAATTATACACACACAGCCGAATGGTAAAGATAAAAAAAGAGCTTCATTAAGTTAAAGAAAAAAACGATTTTGGAAAAAACTAAAAGCAATAAAAGTTTACAATAGTCTCAAAACCAAGGAATACAAAAAATTTAATTCTTTACATATTAAATGAAGAAACTGAAAATCTTGAAGCCAATAATTTAATACACAGACTTGGTTAACCAATAAATGATATGTAGGATCTTTCATAAAACCACCTAAAACTCCCTAATTACGGTTTTGTTTAATCGGGAGAGGGAATAAATAAGACTAATAAATGTGATTAAATTTAGAAAACAAAAATCATCAATAATCCTGTGACTAGGAAGTGATTAGGCATGCTGGAGATGGTCAGTGAAGGATCAAAGACAGAGCTCTAGAACAAGAGGCCACAGAGCAGAATACTGGAAAGAGTCAGAGAGCTGAAACATTTTGCAACCATTATGAAAAGACTGGTTCAGGAGATTCATCAATGGTTGCTAAATACAGGGGTAGTGAATTTAATGAGAAGCAAAATGTCTGCATGGTCTCAAAGTGTCCCCCCACAGACAGATTATGCGGGGGGGGGGGGGGGGGGGAGATAATGGACAACTGGACAAATTATCATGAAGATGGGTATCCTATGCCTCTGGATGTAATAGTCTGAGGAAGCCGCATCAGCTATGGTAGCACTATAGCTAGGGATACATAACAAGAATCTAAACAAGAAGAAAAAACACCAGTAAACCCAAATTGATTACCATGTTATAAAATAATTGGCTTGCATTTTTCAAATGCCAAGTTAATGAAAAACAAAGACTAAGGAACTAGACCAGATTAAAGAGATTACATAGATCAGACAACTAAATGAAATACAAGATCCTGGACAGGATCCTGTACTAAAAGGGAAAAAATGCTAAAATAAAAAATTATTTATTGGAACAAATGACAATGCTGGATTACAGATTGTAGACTGTACTGATGCTAAACTTCCTAAATATAACAGTACTGTGGTTGTGCAAGAAAATATCTTCATTCTTAAAAAATACACACTAAGGTAAAGGGACATGAAGTATTCAACCTAGTCTCCAATGGCTCAGAAAACATAATGTGAATGTATGTGTATGGAGAGAGGAGAGGGAGAGAGAGAGAACGCAAAGTAGCACATTTTAAAAAATTGTTGAGTCTGCATAGAAGGAAGTTTTCTGTAATATACCTGATTAGGCATCTTGGAAATGGTCAGTGAAGGATCATCATTTTTTGTAAATCTGAAACCATTTCAAAGTAAATCATCAAAAATTATAGAAGAGGAACAGGGTAAGCTTTTACACTTTTTACATAAATTTTGTCATTTGGCTTGTTTTTTTTTCTAAGCAAGAAATATCACCATTTTATGAGAGAATATAGGCTCAAAAAGATTAAGTGACCACGTCCAGAACAGGAGTCTCCTTGATTCTATACAACCCCATTATGTTGCAATTCATTGGCCAAAATGTTTCTAATTCCTGAAAGCTTCAATTTCACACTGTCTATAGCTACTACTCAAAATCTTCAACTTTTAATGAGTTGTAAGGCTTCTCTAATAAAAGCACTATAAATTTCAGCAAATAGAATAGCATATACAAGGGCTTGAGAAAGTAGCATATCGTAGCACAGTGATGGCGAACCTTTTGAGCTCGGCGTGTCAGCATTTTGAAAAACCCTAACTTAACTCTGGTGCCATGTCACATATAGAAATTTTTTGATATTTGCAACCATAGTAAAACAAAGATTTATATTTTTGATACTTATTTTATATATTTAAATGCCATTTAACAAAGAAAAATCAACCAAAAAAATGACACGCGTGTCATAGGCTCGCCATCACTGTCTCTAGCGTCTAGGTGCAAATTCAGTCAGTGCAGTGTTCTAGCATGTGTGTGTGTGTGTGTGTGAGAGAGAGAGAGAGAGAGAGAGAGAGAGAGAGAAAGAGAAAAATCTTGGGCAAATTAATCATTTGTGCTCCAATTTCCTAAATGGCAAAGTGGGATCAAAGAAGTATCTGGTATCAAGCAATAGAATTGTTAGGCACACTGAATGAGATAATAAAGGTAAAGTATTATGTACAAATGTATAAGCACTGAATAAATCTTCGCTATTTTTATTTTAATTCAACCTGTTTAAGTCACCTCAACTGGTCAGTCATACATTTTTTCCCCAATATCTGACAAAATAGGATATCAGAGGCTCTAAGAGGAAAACATCTTAGATATTCACAAACCCGAAATGTAATTAATTGTAAGCAAATCACATTCAAAACAGACTGACACAGACTTATGGATTAATTCAACAGCTGAAACTTTTTGCTAATAAAGCTGTAGAGCTGCAGCAAGCTCCTTGTTAAAACAATCCATCATCTAAGAGCACAGATGAAAAGAAATTAGTTATCTTACTGTTAAATTTTTCTAACCTCAGAATAAGGAAAAAACAAAACAAAAAAACCCTGCATTTTATATGCTGCATATAAGATTTCAATCAGCTTCGAACGGTCAAAATTTAATCCCAATTTCAACTCCTAGCACTGCCCTCTCGTTAGTAAAATTTAAATTAAAATTTAATTATCCGCTTTGGCACCTCCAAAGTCAGGAGCACAGGTACTTTACCTTAATTTAACATGAATCCAGTGACAACCTATTATGTGACCAACTTGTTTAGTACTGACAGATTAAAATTAAGAAAAAATGTAAAGATGATGACAATAAAATGTAAAGTTACTATGATTCTGTAAGTTTAAACCCCCCTCCCAAAACAAAACCATTTTTCGGTGGTACTTACATTTCTCCTTAACTTTTTAAAAACAAAGTGTATATTGTTTCGTGTTCATTTTTACAAAATCACATTATTTATAAAATTTTAGGTTTGTTCATCATAACACTAAATACTCTCCAATCATATGCGTATTATTGGTTGCGCCTGGAGGGGGGTCTGCAGGGCAAAGGCTACCGTCCGAGAACATCAACGTCTGCACAGTCTGCCCACTCACCGACGCCTGCCCTCCTCGCTCCCACCCCAGGAGTTTCCCGTAAGCAACACTCACACTCCAGCTCTCCCCCTCACCTCCCCGAACTCGCCAATGTGCGAATTTCTCCAACTCTGATCAAACAGCAGTCAATTGCCTCCAAGTGTTTATTCAAATTTCCGTGTCCCAGACCAACTCAGAGTCTCGGGGGATGGAACTGAAGCTCTCCGAAAGGTTCTTCTTTCACTCAAGTTTGAAAATTGCAAGAGACCCCCACAAACTCTCCCCCCGGCACCTCCCACCACTCCCAGCTGACTCGTCCCCACCCCCCGGAGGGAACGTTACAGCCGGACCCGGTGCGCTCTCGGGACCGCCCCACTCCTCTCCCGGAGCCCGAGCCCGGCGCCGGCACCCCCGGGGACCCAACTCCTCGGTCCCATCCCTGCACCCCAAGCGCGTCTCCTCACTTCTTCAAATCGCTGCTGAAGAGGCCCACGGCACCGGAGTTGGAAATGGCTGAGGTCGCGTCCTGACCCAGCTCCGTGGCCTCCCCTCCCCCGGAGTTCTCATTGTAAGCGAAGCTGTTGCTGGACATCGCGGCGGTGCCGGCGGGGGTCGGGCCGGTCCCGCTCGGGGTTCTCTCCGTACAGCAACTGTCCGCAGGACGCGGAACAAAACTACTTCTCGAGCGGAGGGGCACGCGCAGGCGCTTCCGGGCTCGTCACGGCGGCCGAAGCCAACCCGGCGGGCCACCCCCTGCGCATGCCCAGTGTGCAAGCTGTCCCGAGCCCACCGCAGGCCACTCCGGCGCCGGCCTGGATTTTCCTTCTCCGGGTTTTTGCGGTATCTGAGAGGCTCGAGCCCCAGCGGTGCCAAAGGCTGGTTTCCAGGCTTTAAAAGTTTCATGGAAGGGTGGTACCCATTCTGCCCATTGTGATCCTTTAAAGGGGGTTCCCCGACCCGCGTGACTCCTGCTGTAAACCAGTAGCTTTCAGATTTTTCCTGAAACACCGTTTACACACCAGATCAACTTCCCTAAACACTTCATGATCTCTTTTCCCATTTAGGCTGGTTTCTCCTCTCCAGCCAGCCTGGGCCCTGCTTTCACAGCCACCCCAGGAACCTTGATCCAGTAGCCCTCCGTTTGAATGAAACCTTTCTCTCCGCTGCATTTTGTAAGATGAGCATTACTGATATCCACACCTGAATTTTTTTAACACAAAAAAGGAGAGCTATATAATTTTCTAAATAAAATACTAAACAAGTATTAAATGCAAACATTAAAATTACCCAGTAGATTTTATCTGATAAAAGAATTTTTAACATTAAGAAATGTATTATACTTCTTATATAATTATATGATGTATAGATATTGAAAATGAATAACACTTCATCAGTTTTCTGATTTAAATAAATAGTAAACTAGAAATAGAAGGAAATAGTCTTACTGTTTTTATGCATATGTAAAGAGATAGATAGATAATGTTAAAATACTTCCACAAAATATACAAAGTAAAACACACGTCATATTTAATAGTGAGACACCAAAGGCATTCCAGCTAAAGTCAGAGAAAGGACAAATATGCCTATTAACACCATTACCATTTAATGCTGTTTTATAGATTCTAGTTAATGCAATAGAACAAGAAAAATAAGTAGTGAAAAAGAAGAGATTATAATATTTATAGATATGATTGTCTTGCAGGACAATCTTAGAGAAAATTATTAGACCTTTAAAATGATTCAGCAGAATGGCCAGATTCAAAATCCAATAACACTCCTATACACTGATAATATCTAACTAGAAAATGTAATTTTAAAATGATCCTATTCCACAGTAGCAACAAATAAGTCTTAAGAAATGTATTAAACCTAAGTGAAAAAATTTTTTATAATTTTATAGTTTAAATATGGGGTGTGGGGGAGAAGACATGAAAAAATATGTTTCTGGATAGGAATATTCAAATAAATCTACATATTTAATACAGTTTCAGTCAAAATTCTTTTTTCTTACTAGATAAATTGAATCTAAAGTTCGTCTGAGCCCGGCCAGTGGGGCTCAGTGGTTGAGCGTTGACCTATGAACAAGGAGGTCATGGTTCGATTCCTGGTCAGGGCACTTGCCTAGGTTATGGACTTGATCCCCACGGGCATGCAGGAGACAGCTCATCAATGATTCTCTCTCATCATTGATGTTTCTATCATAACTAATTAATTGTCCTAGTACCATTCAGTTAGGAAATACTGTATTCAATGAATGGTACTAGGACCATTAATTAGCAAAAAATAAAGCCAGATCTCTATATTAGCTTCCAATGACTACTGTAACAAATTATCACAAATTTAGTGGCTTATCACAGCAAAAATTTATTCTCTTACAATTCCATAGTCCAGAAGTTCGAAATTAAGGTGCACAATCTAAGGTATGGGCAGGGCCACATTTTCCAGAGGCTCTAGGGGAGAAGCCCTTCCCTGATTTTTCTTGCTTCTAGAGCAACTTTCCTCATATTCCTTGCATTCCTTGGCTCTTGGCCCCTTCTTCCACTCTTCAAGACCAACAGCATAGCATCTTTAAATCTCTGCTCTGTCTTCACATTGCCTTCCCTTGGTCTGTGTGGAACCTCCCTCTGCCGTCCTTTTATAAGGACACATGTGAATACATTTAGGGCCCACCCCAGATAATCCAGGATAATCTTCCTATATCAAAATCCTTAATTCAATCACATCTGCAAAGACACTTTTGCCAATAAGGTAATATTCACACTTTCCAGAAATTAGGATTTGGGAATATAGTGAAGGTCATCATTCAGCCTACCATAATCTCTAACTCACACAATACCTCTAAGTAAATTCCAGATTGATTAAAAATAAACCACAAAAATTGAATAAATTTCAGGAAAATATTTTAGGACTTGAAGGGTCTCATGGCTGAGGATTGGACCAGAAAAGCCTCTCAGCATAAATACAGGATTATTATATAGGATTTATAAAACAAATCCTATATAATAAAAGCCTAATATGCTAAGTGTCCGGTCATCTGGTCATCTGTTCAACCAATCAAATCATAATATGCTAAAGCCGGTCAACCACTCGCTATGATGTGCACTGACCACCGGGGGCAGACGCTCTGACTGGTAAGTTAGCTTGCTGCTGGGGTCCAGCCATTTGGGACTGAGCAAGATGGGCCGGACATGCCCTGAAGCCCTCCTGTGGTCTCTCCCTGGCTGGCCAACCTCCCACATCACTCCCTGGCCCAGATAGTGCACAGGTGGGGTCCCTCTGCCTGGCCTGCACTTTCGCAATCCGGGACCCCTCAGGGGATGTCAGAGAAACGGTTTCAACCCGACAGCGAATGACCGGTCGCTATGATGCGCACTGACCACCAGGGGCAGATGCTCAACGCAGGAGCTGCCCCATGGTGGTCAGTGTGCTCCCACAGGGGAAGTACGGCTCAGCCAGAAGCCTTGAGCCAGGCTCACAGCTGGTGACCACAGTAGCGGTGGCAGGGAGCCTCTCTCGCCTCCATGGCAGCACTAAGGATATCCGCTTGACGGCTTAGGCCCATGGGGAGTGGGCCTAAGCCGTCAATTGGATACTATATAAATAGTTCTAGCAGTCTTTATAATCAGAAAATGACTCTGTGTGTGTGTGTGTGTGTGTGTGTGTATTTTAATATTACTTTATTGCTTTCAGAGAGGAAGGGAGAAGGAAAGAGAGATAGAAACATCAATGTTGAGAGAGAATCATTGATTGGTTGCCTCCTGCATGTCCCCTAATGGGGATCAAGCCTGCAACCCAGGATGTGCCCTTGACCAGAATTGAACCTGGGACTCTTCAGTCTGCAGGCTGATGCTCTATCCACTGAGCCAAACCAGGTAGGGCTTCTTATGGTTTTTAATAGAATTTAAACTTTACAGATTAGTGAAGACAGGAGCTTTGAATTTCAGAAGTATTTTCTAAGTGTTCATCTTTTGAGTTTATTATTATAAGGAATAAAGCTACTTCTATTTTTTAAAATATTTAAATTTGAATTATAAACAATAATATGATCTTTAATAACTATGAGTTTTCATTTGCTAAGCTCTTTTTAAAAAAATATTTATTGTTCAGAGTATTACATATGTCCCCTTTTTCACCCACTGTCCTCTTCTAGCCCAGCCCTGCTCCTCCACCCACACCCCAGGCCATTTGTTAAACTCTAAAAGTTTGAACCTCCAAGTTAACTAATTTACATGCACTTATCATGGCCCTAATTGATCTGTCCCTCCTTTACATTTCTTGACTTCATTGTCCCTAGTTTACTATACTCCAGACAGTCTGGCCTTTCTGTTCCTTATAATCTACCAAGCTTGTTCTGACTTGAAAGACCTTACTTCCTGAGCTCTCTGCCAGCAACATTCTTCCAAAGGGTCTTCAAAAGGCTGGTTCCTTCAGCTTTATTCAGACATTATTCTATTCATCTGTTAAAGCAAATATCACCTATTCAGAGAGGTCTTCCCTAACCACCCAATCTATTATGACACCTCCTCCTGATCCCCACCCCCAATGGTTACAGAATTGATTGGTTCAGCTGATGTGTTTAGATAGCTATGGTTCACTCTCTGATACATATTCTTCTGGAAGCTTTGCAATACATTACAAAAAGGACAATTGTTTTCCAGATAGAGTACAAAGTTTCTTTTGCCAAATGAACATGAGTTGCCATGCCCTCCTGTTTAGAGAAACCACGTGATTAATTATTTTGGAACATGAAGAACTCTTCTGTAATTGAATTTATGCAATCCTCCAATTTACCAAGCATTTGTGGATTTTCATACTTCAGGTTTTCTAAAACGGTACACATCTGCAAATGTATACCTTAAAAATGTCATGACCTCATTATTATATTTTATAATAAAACTAGTGGCTCAGTGCACAGATTCATGCACATTGAAAGGAAATTAATTAGAAGAAATATTTTAATTTTACTATTTGCCCTTTCTCTATAATAGAAGTGTCAACCAAATTCATGATTGATGATGACAGATTGAAACACACATGTGCAACTGGTGCCAGTGAGAGCTTTATATGTATCACGCATGTGCAAATCAACGTTTATTTTTAAATTGCCAGTGCATGTCATATGTACAGGCCAGTTGATCAGTCAGATGGTCAGATGGACATACGGTCAATCACTTAGCCTTTTATATATATAGATAGATCTGAAAAAATGAAATGTGATTAACCCTGATTAGATAATTACAAATGTTTATTTCAACTCATGATTTAGGAATAGAGAGACTATATTATTAAACTAGGGGCCCAGTGCATGAATTTGTGCACCTTGAAAGGAACTGTGGGCCCGCTCGGCTGCAGTAGGCACAGGGGTGGGTCTCAGCCCATCCTCTGCGCTCCCGCTCGGCCCCTCCCACTGCGACCCCCAGGTCTCCTGTCTTTCAGCAATCCCACTCCTGCCACCGCCACTCCCACGTGCTGACGGCGCTGGCCCTGCTCGCACCTGCTGCAGGCGCAGAGCAATTGGGGCTGGCGCCATCCATGGGTGCAAGCAGCAACTGCTACCCCAATCTCCCCTCAGGAGCAGGGGTAGGTGGAGAAATCCTCAGGGGCAATCAGGACAGGCAGCCGCTGCTTACACCCACTGATGGCGCTGAGCAATTGGGACCAGTGCTGGGCACCGGCAGCAGGTGCAAGCAGCAGCTCTGGAACCGGCTACGGGTGCAAGTGGGGCTGGCACTGACAGTGGGTGTGAGAGGCAGCTGCTTGCC